TGAGGAGACCTCCGACACCGCTTTTGAAATGATGCTTACAATACTGAACATCGTCAGCTAGTGTGAGGAGACCTCGGACACCGCTGTTTAAAAGTGATGTCAGCCTTGTATTCACATGCCTAACTCACGGGTTGAACCAAGTGATGGCACTCAGTCGCTTATGCCTTTTGGCTGCCCTGGGCCCATGTGAGCTGGAAGTTGCAATTTGAAACTCATCCTCTGACTCTGAGTCCGAAGTGGTGAGGATGTGTAAAATTTCATCCTTGATGAGTTTGTACACCTCAGGATCCTTTCGGACTGTGTGCATCAGAGACTGGGTGATGTCGTTTTCGTAAAACGAACCATCAAGCACCTCCTTCCAAAGAGCCCTTACACGATAGGAGACAGCCCCTGGCGCAAGACCCTGTCTGGAAAAGAAGCGGCGGAGTGGGAGATCCAGGACAGTTTTGTACCGCCGCAGCCTCTTCCTTGTGACGACGGCTGGCTCAGTGACCTCACAAAGTGAGGCCTCCCGCATCGTGTCAACTGGCCGAATGGATGAGGAGGCGGAGGCAGCCATTGCTTGGTAACCGAGTGTGATTGTGCCTGGGCTTAATGATTTGAAATGCCAGAGCTACTACTAGCCAAGGCCGCAGTTTTGGCATTTGGCAGTTCAAATGCGTTTGCAAGAAAGATATAAATTAGAAATCAGTCCAAAATTAAAGAGGCGTATAGAGGGAGCGGAAGGCCGCATGCCCTGATTCTTGCTATGCCCGTGTGTATGCCAACAGGTAGCAGTTGGTCTGTATGGCCTGTCTGGCGGCATCATTGCCGATCTGTGCAGTCTGGCCATCATCGTGGATCATATGCGTCTGCCATATGTCCCAATCATCCCCTGCAAAATAAAACGCTTGATAGTGGCCTGCGGTAACAACCTGGCCGACATGAAGAACCCCTCCTCGCAGAATGTATGTGGTTTGTTCAGTGCTACCAGCATGATCTGTGAAGGTAGGAATATTTATCCTGCGCAGAAGCTGGAAGGTCTGGCGAGTCTTTCTAATCCCCCGGTCAGTGCGCAGGAATCGGCTGACCTGCAGGATCAAAAGTCTGGGAGGCTGCGTGAATTCATGGGCAGCTTCTTGGCTATGCCACTGTTGGGTGGCCTCTTGGATCTGGAAGGGCCTATGCATCGGCAGCCTGATGTGAGGGCATGTGAATTGTTCATCAACTATCTCGTATGCACCCTCCCTGTACATTCTGGCCTCCCATCCCCCCTGCAGAGCCGTGCATCCGGTCTTCTGGCAAAGATGCTGTAGAAATTCCACTGCATCATGCTGGCGAGTTGGCCGTTGCCATCCTGACCACATGAATGACCACGCTGGGTCCCTGGCGATATTGTGATTCGATCTGATGGCCTGCATGAGGGAGCCATTCAATTCCCCCAGGCCTGTTATCGCGCCTTCCAGTGACCTGGCCTGATGTAGCATGCGCAGGACGGCATTTGCGTAGCAGAGATTACGCGGATTAACAAATGCAAGTGTATGTGCCCTCGGCTCACTAGATCTGTCGTCTGTAATCCTCCATGACAACAATGAGCCACTTTTTTGCTGTCCCCGATGCCGTTGTGTTAACAGGATTTTGCGCCTTAGCAGTAAGAGGCGGAGTCCGCTGATCTTGACTGTCACCCTTGTTTCCATCCGCTTGATGGATCCCTTGTGGGCTGGAAGCTCCGTTCAGCACAGATCGATTTTTTTGCGAGGTTCCCCGGCATTAGCGTCACCTTCGGGCTGAGCGTGATTGCGAGGTGATGCAGTTGTCTTTGGTTGAACAGAGCTTCGTCCCTTAAAGAAAGCAGAGATACTGCGTTGCACTGTATCGCTACTGCCTGTGGTGCTAGAGGGCAGCGGAGGCCGCATTGCCCCTAGCGTCTCACTTTTTGAGTCCGGCTGGTGAAGTGGAGACCACTTGTCACTCAGAGCTGCAACTTCTCCAGCTCCTTTGCCAGGGTCGTGTTGCTGACCCTTTCTCTGCGTAGTCGGAGCCCTATCACCTTTCCTGCGCAATTGTTTGCAAGCAGGTCCAGATCGCGGTAGACATCCGCTGCTTGCTGATGGAGGGTCAGGGTCAGGAGCATCACCACTACTTCTGCAGATCTGGTCGTAGTGGCTTTAGGCTTTGAAACCGATGTACGATGCCGTCCGTGGCTGTGTTCTTCAGCAGGTTGGCCACTGCTTGCTTCGCATTCTCGTGAGTGAGGTTGTCTTTGCTCGCTGGCAGGGCTTTCTTCTGCTGCGTTCCATTCTGCGTAAACCCACTGGAGCGGAGTCCGCAAAATCCAGTTGGCCGTCTCCGCTGTTTGAAGCGCCTGCCTGGGCCAACACGTTGATCATTCCATGGTTCCCTGTTTCTAGGAACAGGACATAGCTCCTGTCCGCTTCCAAGGATGTCAGCTGCTGTTCGCGCCTGGCCGCCGCTCTCACCAGTGTGCGCAGGATTCGACGAATTGTCTCCTCGTCGAGCTGTTCTGCATCCATCCAGAACTCCTCCTCGTCCTCCTGCTCGCGTGTTCTCTTGTTGGGCTGCGCTGCTTTTCCTGCACCCTTGCCCATTCCTTTGCGGAATTTGCTCTGCTGCGCCACTGGCGCCCGCTGTCTGATCGTCTGTCCTTGCCTTGGTGGATTGGTTGCGGTCGGGGCTAGGGGAGAGCTCAGGCCCCAGACCGTTGCCAGTTAATCCGGCGTCGTCTCCATGGGCGTGGGTGATGGCGTCACGTCGCAGGCTTAGCTGAAGCAGAGGTAGGCACTTCTTTCTATGCTCCCGGGCCGATTTCTGGAAATGCACTCTGCACCAGGGACATGGTCTGGTAGTGCTCGCCATCAACAGAGTCTCAGAATCAGTAATCTTTTGCGCAATCACATGCTGAGGCCCGTGCTTTTGCTTGACGTGCCTTCGCCATGCTTGAATGTCCTGCATCGGCTCACCGCACAGCAGACAGTTGGTTTTTGCGACTAAGGCCATGTCCTTTAACTTGGCATGATTATCGTCAACGAGTGGGTCAGCGAGGCACGCGGATATGTCTATCGGCGGGCATGGCATAGGCCATGTCTGTGGCAGGGTTGTTGCCGTCAAGGCGGAGACCGCTTGTCGCTGTATTTTCGCAAGTAGCAGCTGAAAGAGAACTGGGCATTGTGAGCAGTGTCTGTCAGCACCATGCACAATCCTGTCACACCACCGACAATGTTGATTTCTTTTGAGCAAATACTTGAATTCGGCGCATGCTTTGTGAAAGTCAGCGGTGAGGTGTTCCGCAAGCTCTTTATGCACTCGCAGTATGTGTGTTTTGATCATGCCTGCTTCAGCGATCCATCTTCCGCAAAAACCGCAACGCTGCTTGAGGTGTGTTTTGTGTAGATCAGCCTGCGTGAGAACCCCAGCGTGTTGTTGGAGATGCTGGTAAACTTTGCTCTGTTTCATGAGTGGCACGCTCTCGTCCTCGGAAGCGGAGCGCCGCTCTTCCAGCGATTGCTTTGGTTGCTCGGGCGTCGCTTCAACAGCACCCGATCCAGGCTGGGCTTCTTCACCGGTGCAAATATGAGCAGCTGTAGGTGACGAGTTGATGGGCTCTGGGAGGTGTGTCTCCGCTTTTTTCGAATACCAGTTGCACACATTTAGCATAATGTGACCTTGGAGGGCAGACCAGTTGCACAGCTTCCTTTTGCAATGTTTACATTGAGGCATACCCCCGATGGAGTGCTGCTCCGGCTTGTATTCAATGTTGACACGATCCGCCTGAATTTGCCCATGCCTAAGTGCTTGGTGCTGCCTGAGTGCCTTTTTTGTGGAATAATACAAGCCGCGTGTGGGGCATGCATGCTGTCAATACGGGCACTGGTCGTTTGGGTATCGGCCTGTTGGAGATTATGATGAAGATCCTGCCAAAATGAGAGAATACCGGGACCCCTAGTGGCAGGATCGCTGACTTCGGTCTGCAGATGTTGTATTTTCCTCTCGATTCTTTCAAGCAAAGTGTGGATAGGATCCTTCAGCCCGAACTGTGCCCTGATATCTCTATTGTTGATTTTTGTCAAGTGCGCTGGCATGTTAACTACGGCCCTGAGTTGCCTGTGAAACCATGCTCTAAGCTTTGCAACCATGTGCCCATTAAACTGTGTTGCGAGGAGGCCATACATGGCACTGCTGACAACGCAAGTCTGCCACACTCGAACGCGGCGATGGCGACAGAAGCCTTTTCTGGCTCTGATGCTTTTCCGCAGTGATGTGACCTTGGCTGCAGCTTCCGCGATACGGAAATCCAGGGTCTGGTCCGAACCTTCTTTCAGGGACAGCTTTGTGCCCAGGTAAGTTATGGTTTCGCAGATAGGTATCAGATATTCGGTCTCTCTGTCTTGGATTTCCAGTGTGGCTTCTGCTTCACGATGACCGTTCTACTTTTCACAAGTTTGCTGAGCCGGTATCCCTGAACTCTAACTATGAGGCTAGATTTGTCCGGGTCGGAAAAGCTTCATGATGAGCTGTTCCATGTTTTTGACGTCCTCAGTCGTCTTCAGCAACCAGTGCCCCAGGTGATCATCAGCAAAGAGCGTAAGTGGAAGCTGCATAGGCGTCTGCTCGGGCGTGGTGAGGTCCCAAAGGACTTGCGACGATAATATGGCCCATAAGGCCGGAGCCAGGCGACAACCCTGACGGATTCCTTGAGTTGTAACAATGGAGGTCTGTTGAAAACTATCCCTCAATTGGTACGCTGCTTCCTCGTGGATGGCTGCAACCGTGGATCTGATGTCCTCGTCTACCTGATGCGCTTGCAGAGCAGCATCTAATTTTCCCCTGTTGACTCTATCAAAAGCCTGACTGAGGTCCACCGAGAGTAGGCATCCTCCTGCTTCCGCAGCTGTTTGTCCGGCTTCCTTACGCTGCCGTACTGTGAATCTGCTGCCTCCTAGTGCCCTCACGCTAGCTTTAATCTCCCTTACACATGCGTTCACTCTAGCGAGCGCATCGGTTGTGTCCCTGGATGGGAGATAGGCGTATTGAGGAGATTGCGCAAGGCTTGGACCCGCTTGTTCCAAGATGAGGTTCTTAATATGTCCCGCCAGCGCTTTACTATCTGGCCTCAGTAATCCTATGGGGCGGAGCGCAGAGGCTGAGGAAGGAGGTTTGTGAGGTTTGGGTAGAAAGCACAGTTGGGGGTCTTTCCACGCTGATGGTAGAATGGCATCTATGTGCTGCAGTGTGCCTGCAACTCTTGCAAGTGCTGAGACAAGCGCTTGTGAGCACGCCCTCCACGCTGTGGCCGGAGCGGAGTCCGCTGGTACGGCCTTGCCTACCGGTGTGCATTTGAGCTGCTCTTGCCATTCTGTATCCAGCAGCGGTAGTTTCAGCGCCTTGCCAGAGCGGCTCGGTGCCTCAACATCAGGTGCAAAAAGCTGCTCGCAGTGCTTAACAAGGGCTGTGTGTTCTTGCAATAGAGACATGGGTGAGCCATCAGGACGCCTGAACGTAATGCGTGGTTTGTGCTTCCAGGGCATAAGTCTTTTTACAGCTCCATATAGGCGTTTTATGTTGTGTGTCCGGGCTGCTCTTTCGGCTTGATGTAGATGTCCAAGGGTAATGGCCTTTTGCTGCTGTTGGTGATAGTGTTTGCTCTGCCTGCCCGCTTGCAGAAACAAAACTATCCACTTCCATGTCCGAATGATTCCTGATGCGCTGAATGGCTTGCACCTCTGAAGATCTTTGCGTCTTTGCCACACGTGATACACCTGCGTGGGCAATGCTGGTGCGGCGGCCCCCTCCCCATCCGGGTGGGTGAGTATCTCCTTCCGGGCTTGGAAGATGGCTTTGCATTGCGCTTGTCGGTGGCTGCGTCCTGTGCGTCCCTTGATGACTGCTGGAAAGAGCGCCGAGACTTCCTTAAGCAGGATACGATTGATGTCATCTGCCTTGCATTGGCTACCTTGTTGCAGTGCAGCTTGCACACACATCTGCAGCTCATGTATCCTGGGGTCCTGCTTCATAGGCATTATCCAGGTCCTTCGCTGAGTAGGGCGGCGCTTGCTGCATGGTTGAACGAGGTAAATGGAAGTGCCGTACAATGCGTACGTCCGCAACTAGGGCATTGTGTGTCATTTCCTTCCAGCCTCCAAAGGGAGCCTCCATCTTTTTCGCCTGTTTTGCACGCTGGTCTGCACTCGCTGGTTTGACCATTACGAAGTCGATCTGGGAATTGCCAGTTCTTGTGTAGTTGGTGCACGGATCCTTCATTGTCCATGTATTCAACTGGAATCGTCCATTTTTCATTCAAACGCTTTAG